ATCAAGTGATGTACAACCCATCTGTTGAAGTTGTCGATCAAAGCCTGATTGATACAGCAATGAATGCTGTCAATTCTGATGTTGACAATGATGCTCCAACATTCGACTATGTTGAACCCAACAATCAAGATACTGCTGACCTGAACACAATAATTACTCCCTCTGCGGCCAGGTATGTTTCTGCTCCAACCAAAGTGAAAATAAAACTAATGAAGATGATGAGAGACCACAATATACCTTTAGTCGCTGAAAGGTAACTTTACAAGTGGGCAATTGAATCCAAGTATTTATCTGGATTTACTTGTTGGAGTGCCAGAAACTGTTTAATACAAACCCGACAGAAGGTTTTGGAGGTCATTTTGAGGAACCACACCTTATATACTGGCGGTCAAGTGACAGTGTTGGTCACAAACAAATACATGTAAGGACATTCCGATGCATGCTACATTCCCTTCTTACTAATGTTTCCTTGATCAAGGAAGAGAATCTTTCCTTCACCAGCCAAAGAACCCCTACGTCTCCCCGTCGTGACCCTGAACTTACACAAGACACTCTTATGATTTGTGAACTCCATCACAGGCAACAATGGTAGCTGCAAACATGGAAGGATAAGTGTGTCGCAAACAACAATGAGATGCTAGTGCCAATTATATTGTATATGGATGGAATTGCTATTGATAGACATGGAAGCACAACACTATGCCCTCTTAACATGAATCTGGGGATATTAAGAAGCAATTATACACGTTCTACCACACCTGATGCTTGGGAGACAATTTACTTCCATCCCCAGGGAAAAAGCAACCAATCTGTGGACAACGCCAATAATCTCCATGATGGTTTACAAGCTGATTTTGCCTCTTTCAAAGAAGTATGCGAGTCCTCCCATGCTATTGAATGGAAAAATTGTCCATGGAATGGAAATGAAGTTTGCGGTGGCATTTTTCATTGGCGACACTGAACAGCACAACAAGCTCTGTGGTCATACACATCCTAGCCAACAACAAACTATTGCTAGCCACATAAAAAGACCAGACTTTCCCTTAGCAAGAAAGAAGGCCACCATGGGAATAGTGGAGGTCATTATGACGCACTGGTAGTATATTCAACTGAATAACCAGCAAAGTTACAAAAACAAGCTCACTCTGGAAGAGCATTGAGGGAGGGATAGTAGGAGAAAACCACGTATTGTAATCCAGAGATATGCAGATTCCCCCTTCCTGCATCTCTTCCACTCAGGGGACAACCAAGCACTGCTCAATTGCTGTGGTGTAGACCACAAGGTCTTCAGAGAGCTTGTTGATGCATTTGCCCCAGTGTGCAACAACAAGTTTAGTACTGTCAACAACAACAATGAGATTATGGAAGTTCCTTGTTATCCCAGTGGTAAGCCCAAGGGGAGGAAGAGGGAGGTTGATGCAGTCTGTGCTATTGGACTGGGTCAACATTGTGTTTGTCTTTGCCCCGGATTGTAGAATTTGACTGTCCTATGGCTTGGCACAATAGTGCGATTGCCAACCACAGCATCTATGACAGGATTGAGGAGGTCCATGACCAGTCCAATGCAAAGGTTTTGGACCAATTCAGCCTTTACCTTGAAAGACAAGGAGCATACTAGTATCCTCGTCAAGAGCTCACAGCAGAACCCTGAGAAGGACAACCTCCTTCTTATCAATAGGGACGCTACTACATCCTTGAGACAGATGTTGAAATGGGGGATGAGGATGATTCAAGGACAGTTTCCAAGACAGGATGTTCTTGGAGGAGTTTAGAGACAGAAAGATCATCATGAACTTGTTGATCAACCTCTGCAACTGCTACTACCAGTGAAGCACTATAGGACATAACCAGATCCTCTATTCACAACAGCAACTGGTGTGGAACAACCATACAAGAAAAATGATCTTGCAACAGCAATTAATTATCCTCCTTATCAGGGAGCATCTTCTGTATCAGCCCYTCCTCCTCTAATATATCAGTGGTTAATCTTCATCCCTGGTATCAGGGAGCATCCTCTGTACCAGGAAGCATTCTCTGTATCAGGGAGTGTCCTCCATAGTATTGTAGATTAATTGTCCTCCACATGAGTACATGGTAATRTTTAGCTGCTAGCTCTGCTTTGGTGTAACGAGCACTAACTTCAACAATACTAAGCTCTCAAGCTTAATCTCTCAAACTTGTTGTTGAAGATAGTACTTGCTGTAGTAATCTCAATTCAGTTTCTCAAGCCAAAGCTCTCAGCCTCAGTGATGCAGATACTAGTGTACCAAAAACATACCAAAGAATGAACTCTGTTGAGGTCCTTCTTGTTATTGTCATTAAAAAAGTTTTGCTTGAGAATACGCAGCAGTAAAAAAAAATCTACCATAATAACACGGACCTCAACAAGGTACATTTTCAGGTACGTGTTGGGTACACATGCTGTGCAAGCTCCCCCACAGTTATATAACATATTGTAAAATAAGACTTGTTATATTAGTAGAGATACTAGCTAGTACTAGTCTCCTCCTTCTGTCCATTTGAAATGTCCATTTGAGAACCCTATTTTGGAAAAATGTAGAAGTCAGTTCAAAAATAGTTGATGTGAAAATGCCAACTTAATTYTSTAAATTCTGGTCTAGAAATTGCTAGTAACAGCCCCTTGTCTAGCATTTGAAAKCATAAATTGAAAAATATCAATTTGAAAAGAAATGCCAACAAGKGAATAAAAGTCAGTACTATTTGACTGTTGTTAGGTAGCAATGTTTTAATTTTAAAACAGAGTTGAAAACAAATCCACAATCCCAACTGACTTCAACTCAATTCGTGTCTGGTTTCATTTCATTCTGGTCCGCAAATTATTTGAAATACTRATCCCCTCCTATCAATTTCAAAACTTCAATAGTAAGAAGTGTCAATMAAAAAACATAYCAATATTTCTCAGGTGACACTAACTTGATTATATCTTTTTCTCATCTGCTCCAGGTCTGCAACATTTCAAAAATAGCCGTATGACTTTCTCTAGTCACACAAATTTGATTTTATAAAAATAATGTATCGTTTCTTCTTTTTTGACAAAAGCATTCCTAATTATAATCAAGCACAAAGGAAGACACTGTTAATAKGTAGTGCAMGCTTATCCGAGTTCGCTTTTATTCCAGCGGAGCCCTATTCTCGTTTTTACCATTCACTTCTTGCAATACCCCGACAAAGTAGGCTTGTTCGGAAGAGGAGGTGGCATTGCTATTATGGTTGGCTGACATCACTCCTATTTTCAGATGATTCTCAAACTTGCGACCGGTTTTGGTGTAGTTAATAAGAATCATCTCCGAGAATCCATTTTCCCGTAACAAACGAACTKTGTCGTTCGCCTTTTCGATGTCGGTCTCGGGACCCTGCAGAAGACTTGCAACATCCCGTCCGATAGCTTCGTCGCGACGATATCCACAAAGACGTTCCCATGCACAATTCACATCGACWACACGYGTAGGTGATTCGACAGTTGTGACGACGATAGGGCGTTCGTCATTCAATGCGTCCTTCATCGTTTTTGGAAGGCGGKTTTTGAACAAGAGTCTTTCCATTATAGCGTCTTTCGTGGTTTTGTCGAGCATTTCACTGTATGCTATTGATCCTGTTGCTGTCTCGGGTGAAATATAGAGGTGATGCGTTTGAAACAATTCATCAAAAGTTGAATTTATCTTGGCGCCATTGCCACTCTGACWAGCTCCTGAATGTACTTTTTCGGAGGCTGCTACAAAGTCCGACTCGGGGGAAGCAAAAGATAGACTCTTAGACCAAGTCGAGCCACTGGACTCGGTACTTCTCAAATGCACGGTCTTAGAAGCTGAAGCAAAATCAGACTCAGGAGAAGCAAAGGAGAGATTATYTGACCAGGTGGGGTCTGTCCTGGTGTTCCTCCTTGTCAAGTGTTTGGTTTCGGATGCCGCCACAAAGTCAGACTCGGGAGAAGCAAAGGAGAGATTACCTGACCACTTTGTTGATGAACTACTKATCGAATTCGAAATTTTGGGAACGGAGACAAAATCAGACTCGGGAGAAGCGAAGGATATGTTTCCCGACCACTTAGTATCCGTTTGATTAGAAGAGAAACGCAAAACCATCGGCGCTTTCCTCGGACAAGATATATTCCTTAGATCCGCAACTTTCTGCGTTAAACGTGTTGAGAATGCAATCTTCATTTTTGTTTTAGTTTTGTGAGAATTGCAAGTGCTTGTAAACGAAAATGATAGGATTGTTATCGTTGACGATGAATGGTAGCTGTGCAGTAGCAGTTGTCCCGATCCGGTTGTCTGTTCGATCTCTGTCTTCGAAGAGTTGCCCGATATTTTACCAAACCCAAAAAATGAAGAACTTCCGAGAATAATCGTACTTACTCATAGCTATTCGTTGTGAACCATAGCGAACGAACGTTACCGTACATCAAAAAGTCAAAAACTACTAGTGCTACCGGTAGAAATGCTGATGTCTGAGTTCTTCGGAGTCAAAAAATGAGACGATGAGATGACGACGTTCTTTCTATTAAAGCTCTTAAATAATCACGATGCTTCAAAAAACGTGCCGTAGTTCAGGGTRCCAGGAAAAGATGATGACAAAAAGCTGTCATAATGACATACTGTARCTCGTAACTCATACGAACCTTCTGCTAAGTAGCGTGTACTGAAGAAGCTGATGATTTATATTACGACTTACAGCACGATACTTTGTCGGATAACTTCTTCACATTACACAGAAAGTACCGGCCGATGCAGGAAGTAATTCATGGTGAAACAGAACTAATGCTAGTGGATTCGTTAAAGTATTGCGAGTACGTACTACCCGTATCGAATGAAACACTAGCAATGGCAATCGAATGCGTCGACACCTGGGTTGAATACTTCTATCCAACACTGTAGATTGAAAAGTACTGTAGTTGCTTTCCCTGGAGACAAAAAATAACAAGTTACGATTAATTTGTTCAGCACATACAAAACACCCTTACAGGCGGAGTAGTAATGATGGGATATGTTATGTAAAAATTACGGCCTTCATAAGTGCATACCGCACAGTAGCTGTTATGTACAACAGATAAACAATACACTGCAGTCTAAGAGGCAATGTCGAAAGCAAATTTCCATCCATTTTRGTTTGTGCATAGGAAAGTCATTCAGGTTAACTCACGTCGGATCAATAAGAAGCAGTATCAACAGCAAGTATAATCATATCTGCTTTCTTTATGACCCAACATTGCCTGTACTAATGCTTTCGTGGGGACGTTTCTGTGCGTTCATTTGAAGTTGTTGTGGTAAAAAGGCCGAAGGGTTTTGAGACTGAGATGGTAGGCAAGTAGATAGAATAGTTGTTGGAGGGACAGGATTGGAGAGAACTGGAGGGAGTGCGATCAAAGGTTGGAAATTTGGAAGATTGGTTGTAGTTGTAGCCGCCGCTTGTCGTTGCGCTGCATTAAAGTTCGCCCGAAGGTTTTGGGTGAGAAGATTTGTTTGAGCTATACTGGGTTGCAGAGCAACTTGTGGATTGTCCACCACACCTCGCGTCGTCACGTTGTYAGTGGATTCGCTTCCATCACCAACCCCCCCTACGTATGATGTAAAAATGAGATAATGGGTTATTCTTGAGTCTGTACTCAGAGGATATGCCGTAAAGAAGTTCTTGAATCTTTCATGAGACTTTTTGTAATGAAGTATCATTGCTGAAGTAGGTCTCTTGAATCTGATTTCGTCCATGAAAACTTCAACTGCGTTTGTATCAGTTTGCTCCCCTTCCAGAACACGGCAAGAGGTTTTCCCAACAACCTCCTCGGCCGTGTATCCAGACATATCTTCCCACAACTTGTTCACTTGTACAATTGTGTAAGGTTCATCTGCGAGAATCATTACCATAGGCGAATCGAAACTTCGCTGGCATGTCTGTACTGTATTCGGAATCACAGAGAAAGTATGAGATCCTGCGGCTTGTTTCAACTGCAGCATGAGCGCCATGACATCGAACATCAGCTCGAGACCGACGATCTTGTGAGCACTGTTGAACTTGCAACAAAGCATACCCTGCTTTGAAACTTCCATTCTGGCACCGCATTGCACCGCATTCAGAGTCTGCATTACCCAACGAGCCATCATTTGATTTCCTGCAACAACGGCCTCTTCTGTAACAAGCGTGTATCGAAATTGAATGGCAGCAGTTGGGAATCTTGCTCGATCAACGAGGGTATTGAGTAATACATGCAAGGATGCCGTATCTGACATCATCCCATCGATACCGAGAATTGTTCTTTGACATTTCGAGACTTGAACTTCACTTGCGGGGAAAGAGCGGTAAGGTGTTACAGGTAGAATGCATGCAAAGCAACTCTCGTCTAATATACTCGCCCAAAGCTGTCTTCGTTTCTCGTTTGCAGACCTCAATGCGAAAAAGGACATCAAAACCTCCGTTCTAGTATTATTCATCTCCACGAGTATAGATGCTGCTCCTGCGCGTTCTGTGACTAACGTATCACGCTCTTGGCATAGATCGTTCACCGTTGACTTCAGAGTTTCGAGATATGCTTTCTTCCTCAAGCGCGTATTTCGGGCATGCTCTCGGTTTCTGTCTCGATTAGCTTTTGCTCGTTCCTCGGGAGTCATGTTAGAGGTATCKATTGGTTCACCCTTTTTGCGACTACCAGTAGATTTCTTTTCGAGTACACTCGATTGTTTGAGAGAAATTTCTCCATCCGTATCGCTGGCTGAAACTAGAGGAGTTTTCGTAGCATGAGTTTTGCGAGTTTTTTCTTTTGTCTGTGTCTGAGGTGGTGGTTTCTGTGACGAGGCTCTGCCATGCTTCTTTGTGGTAGAAATTACAGGCTGAACCGCTGTTGTTGTGGCAACAATAGGAATTGATGTCACAGGCGAAGGGATCATTTGCACTTGCCCTGGATACTGTATTCGTTGCTGTTGCTGCTGCTGCAATGCTGCTTGGGCTTGTGCCTGCACAGCTTGAGCTTGCTGAACAGCATTGAATTGCTGCTGAAGCTGTGCTACCTGAATGCGGCGCAATATATTTGGATCGATACCAAATTGAGGTGCCGCTTGTTGCTGCTGATCAGCAGGTTTTTCTTGACTGGCTTGTTGAGATACACCTTGCATCACCAAACCATTTTGTTGCGCTTGTGCTAAAAGTGCATTCTGCTGCAATAAAGATAACACTGTGCCTCCCTGAAGATTTGTCGTATGAGAAGCAGGTTGCGGCGCAACTTGTTGGACTTGGGCTGGATGTGTTACAACTTGCGATTGCTGAGGTTGACTAGGTGTCTGCGCTCCAAGAGCCTGCTGCGTTGCCTGAGCTGCTGCAGGAGCCGTCGTCACCATCTGGTGCTGCATGCGTTGTTGCTGTTGTTGRATTCCTAGTTGCTGCTGCAGTTGGTGTTGTTGAATTTGTTGCTGCTGCTGCTGTATCTGCTGTTGTTGCAACCGAATTTGCTGCTGTTGCTGTTGAAGTTGTGCCTGCTGCTGCTGGGTAGAGGCATTTTCTCCCGCAGCTCCTTTCGGCTTCACTTGCTCTTCTTGCACTGGAGCTGGAGTTGGTGCTGGATTATGACTCCCACCTGTTTGATAATTTATCCGTGTTGGTAAGGGAATATTCGTGGTTGATGTATCTTGTGCTCCAATACTACCTACGAGCGGTTGTTGCAGGTAAGACAAGCCACCATCCTTATCCTTGTTCAGGTGATTAAAGCTTACGAGATCTGGCAATGCTGAATTTGGTAGAGAACCATTCACTCCGACAGGTGCGCCTACAACTCCATCCTCATCTTCATCCCATGAAAGAATAGAGCCAAGAGCTCCGATGTCATCATCGTCGTCATCCTAGAATGGAAAATTTTGAATCGTAGAAGAAGAAAAAATGATTCGATGAGTTCTGTTTTCAAGGCTTATTTAATAAGTCAGGAAAAATTAAGGACAAAAAAYAGAAAAGAAACCCGGATCTAAGATGTAGACAACTTGGAGAGATTAGTCGCTGAAGTGTGTCGCGCCGAGCCGAGGTACCTTGAAGAGAATGAACATGGTGAACATGCTCGAGCTCACGCAACAACCGCCATGTTATTATTTCTATTCTGTTACTTTAGAATAGATATTTGTAATTGCTCTATGATTTTTGTCGTTTGTGCATTGAAAGGAGGCGTTGTTCCAGCGTGCACAATTGACGCTGAACACGTGCTTGCCGGAATCCCAAGATTGAATTTTTCATGCATCGATGCAAATAACATCGCTCACCTCRTTGTCATTGTCGCTGTGCTCGAACTCAGTGTAGTCTTTCCCCATGATCGTTTTATGTCTATTGTCGTGTTGAACTGTTTGTTTCCCTTTTCATACTTGATTTTCTATCGTTACTCAATGATGTGTTGTTCTCACGATGCAAGGAAAGGTAAAAATGATAGASATAATCCGTGAAAGCTGTCAAAGGYGTGGAAATGGTTCGGACCAGATTGTTCGGGTGCAATTGTTGCTGTATGCCATCTGTTTCGGAAATGCCCGACACGCATGACAGAGTTTTTGACAAATTAGATAATAAGATAATTTTTTTCAAATTCATAGAGAACTGAAATACAAATGTATTTATWTMTATTCTTTTCAAGATTGAAAAAACTTGACAATTTTATAAAGTTTGGCGTGTCCTCCTAAAATTAGGGCGACGTACGAACGGTAGAAACGCATATGGGGAAGARTGAGAGCTCGTATTCGAATGGACGCAAATGGAGTATGAACGTCGTGCAGTACGTACACAACGATGAGTGTTTATTTTTATCATTATTTATTCTGTATGACTTGCTCTAAGTTACTTCGACCAAAGACAGCGATTTGATTCCGATAAATTCTTTTAATTGGTCAATCAGAAACTTACCAGGTCCTACGGCGCTAACAGTAGGAAACTAWTCCTACGAAGGAAACAGAAGAGTACTCGTACCAAGTACGGTACGAGGTAGGAATACAAATGTGTGGACCGAATCTGGATCAGGGTATGAGTTAACGTATGAGTACAACAAAATGCGCCAGTTTTTAGCTCCTCTCAGCAGCTATCTTTGCTTGCTTGTTTACTAGGCTACTAGGAGTAGTAGGAAAGCACCAATCATAATTCAAGAATCCATTAGTCAGAAATTGTTTTCTTTTCTCTTCACAACCACCATGTGCACATTGCTTTGTGAATTTTGAAGATAACCATTTCCGGCTTCTTGTTCTTGACTTCTTCTCTGCGCAGCACTGCTGCTGAAAATAACTCGGTTTAGTTGGACCATAGTACGACATCTCTGCTGGCCTGCAGGGGCACAGTTCTGCTTCAATTGCTACCAGCATTCTACCCAGCTGATTCTCTGGGGCCAATCATCCACAGATCCCTGTTCAATTTTACACTTTCGCAAAGGGGTCACCCAGGGGGGGGATCCCCTTTTGATGATCCTCTATGGTCTGGCCTTGGTTCTACTTGCCAAAACTCTACGAGCTACATTTCCCGACATCGTCCAACCTTGGTATGCCAATGACCCTGCCATTCATGGAAGGGCATCTGACATTGCTGGCACCATGCAGCTCCTCCTCCTTTGGTTGGGCCCCAAACATGGATATTTTCCAGAGCCAACAAAAGTATCTTTGTTGGGCCTCCAGCTCACTACTACAGATCTACCACCATCCTCCAGGAATTCAATTTTGACTTCCAAGACAGACACCATTACATCAGAGGCCTCATTGGTACTGCCACAGCCAAGGAAGCTTGGCTCCAGCCCCAGATCAACAAATGGGTCAAAAGTGTACAACTTTTTGCTGGCCCCGCATGACAGTATCCACAGCCGGCCTTTGCCAGTTTGACCAAGCAAAGTTGTTGCAGTCCAAATGGACCTACCTCCATTGTGTGGTTCCCAATGTGGCTGATTCTTTTGCACCAGTCAAAAAGGCTTGACCGAGGAATTTCTGACAACACTAGTACTTGGCAACACCGTCAACACCACATACAATCTCCACCAAGATTTTCTGTCTTTCCCAGTGAAATTTTCCAGCCTTGTCRTCTCCAATCCCAAGGCCAAGGCCCAGGCACATTCTGACATGTCAGTTGCTGCCACAGGCAACCTCATCACCTCCCTCTGAAATTCCGAAGAACTTGATGCACAGACTTACTGAGACAATGTTTGGCGCCACCTGGGGGAATGCCAAAAGTAAGGCTTAGAGGAGTCACTCCAAGCCTCCCTTGACACCCTGCTTGTGACTTGGTCTCCAAAAGTCAGCTGCCACATYTGATGTGGACAAGCCACCAGTGCCTGGCTGACCGCCACACCCCATAACCTCAATGGGACTGTTCTGTCGGCCAAAGAATTTTGAGACAACCTCTGACTGAGATTTGGCCTCCATCCTCTCCACCACCCCAAGAGTTGTGATGGATGRWG